AAACACCGAACATCGAAAATGTATTTCCTGATAAGATAAACTGATAACCTCTATAGGTATAATTATTTCAAATACATGAAACTATGAGGCCTGTTGACAATTTATAGGTTTAATGTGAGGGAACCAGATGTTTCCATGACTCACACTGGAGAGTGAGAACTGTTTTGGAGAAACTTTGGCTCACCTTTATAGAGATGTTGCCTGGGTCCAGGAAAACGATGTTTAACAAAGTGGCAATTCTGTTTGATATCAGGCACAGAAATGTTAGCTAGCATAGTTGCCATGCTGTGCCGTGAGCTGGCACCAACAATGTGGCATCAGGTTAATGAATACCTGAACTGCACAAGGATGTTGACCTTTGAGAAAGATAAACACAATGCAGGAGAGTTTTTCAACTACCCCTCTTTATAACGCTGATTATAAATTTCCAGTTTGCTTTTTGGATTAATTTTAGCCTTTTATAAGTAAACAGAAGTAAAAGGAGGACCTGAACAAAAAAAACCAAACAAACAAACAAAAAGAAAAAACCCATGACAAATACAAATGTTTCCACTCAGGTGCACTGCATACTGCAATATAATGTCCGTAGTTAATTGCTTTTTTGACTCTAACTTAATTTCTATTACATTTTTAAATATATAGATTGTGCTTCAAGTATTGTAGGGTCTTTGAAATATAAAGCACTTTGAGATGATATATATGTAAATAAAATTGGAGTGAAAATTGAATTGAAGTACTTATGTTGAGTTACTGAGTTGTACTATCTGCCCCCATACTGAAGAGTATAGCTGTGCATTCTTCTGCAATGGTAATTGTAAAGATTCATGGTCCTGTTAATGTTCAAATCCTTTATATAGTATTGTTGTCAACTTATGTTATGTTCAGATTTAGATTCTTGTGAATTGCTTTGTGGTTTCCATGGTATGTGTAGTCCAGAACAGTGTAAAGGTTTAGCTGGAAGTGAAGAGCTACAACCACTATGTGGTTATTTTTAATATGTAAGCCTTTACAAATTTTTAATACATTGTCATTTAAAAAGCAGCCTCATTAAATTCTAATTTTTAACATATCAGGACAAAATAATTAAAATATTCTGAAAATGAGGTGAAAACAACCTCAGATGGACTACAACACATGACATATTACACTGTATCATTGTTTATTCCACAAATATTAAGCCAAAATGCAGAAGTACTTTATGAAAAACTAGGTACACTCTTGGTGCTTCCATAGGAAATAAAAAGGTACAGAAGTTAATCAGTTGCATTTGGTTATCATGAGCAAGGTGTGAGCACCTCCATAAAAGCAGAAGTTTTGACTGATCTGGAACATGCAGGTGTGCTTTAACAAAATGCCACAGAGGAAAGATACCCATTAATCTGAGGAAGGTTATAAGGCCATTTCTCAACAATTTGAAGTCCATTATTCTGCAGGGAGAAAGCTTATTAAGTGGGGAACATTCAAAACTGCTGCCAATCCTTCTAAGAGTGGATGTCCTCAGCAAATTCAGCCCAAGTTCAAAGAAACAACAACAATCCCAGTGCTACATGCCAGACTGTACAGGCCTCAGTGAGCATGTTAAATGTCAACTAAAAAAAGACTGAACAAGTATGGCTTGCTTGGCAGGGTTCTCTTCTCGTAAATGCTAAACTGCATCTAAACAAACTGCGAGACGTACAGAACAATGGCCTTTAGACAGTTGAGACCAGCATTCATGAAGAAAAGAAAACAATCTAAGTTTTCCACGGACTTTCTGCAGTTTGATTTTCTTTGCTAAATAAACAATGACATGATGTAAAAAATTGGCTCAAAGGTTAAAATCTGAAGTTACCATCCACCAAATTCGTGAACTTACTTTACTGTATGCCTGCTAGATATCAGGATTTAACCTCTGTGAGCATGGTAATCTACTGACATATGCTTTTAATTTGTAGAAACACTGAATATAAGTACAGCTTCAGTCCTGTTTAAAACCAAGCAATGTGAACAGGTTTTAGTTTTTTTCTGCAGTAGTGATTTATGTTTGTGGTTCTGTTAAAAGCACATCCCATCGTGTCATAAATTAGTGTCATAAATCTCTTATGAAATCCAATGGTAGGATCCAAAGCAGGATGTGAAATTTTGTGAGGTTTGTCAGGTTATATAAGTGAAAACTATACTTTGATTGAATGACACAAAGAAAAAGCAAGTATTTCCTTTTGTAATTAAGTAGAAAGATATGCTCTCGTATATAGTAAACAAGATCTACCATGACCATCACATCATGGCCCCGGGAAGACAACAGTGTGGCATTAAATCTCCTATAAAACCACAAAGTGTATTTTTTGGAAGAATTAAGCAAATAAAGCATAACATGTTCATTAGTTAGGTCTTCTGACTTTATAAGGTAGAATAGATCTCCTCATGTTTACACACTGAATCAATTTAATTAAGTAATTGTATATCTGTTATAAGAAAAACTCTATAAAATACTGCAACTTAAACAAAGTCGGCCTTGAAGTTTGCTCACTGTTTTTGTATTTACAACAGAGTGATGGAAGCCATCTGCTGGGGCCCTGAGCCCTTCTGCCTGAGAGTTGCCTGTTAATGAACTGATACACAGTTATAGGAACAGAAGGTTCACTCTTAACACAAGAGGAAGTGCAGTGTACCTTAGATAAATTTTTTTTTTACCATACCCACACACCCACACACACATGCAATACACACGCTCCTCCTCACCCACCCAAATCTGCCCACTCCCTCTGCGGTCTGTGTATCTCAGAGCTTCTGGCAGGCAGGCCACAGGAGCACCCCTCTTCAGCCCTGACAGGGTGCACAGAGGGGTGCATGTTTCCTGAGCAGCTTGAGCAAATATGGGAAGTGGTGGTGACCCAAAAAATTACCCATATGCTACGCTCCTTTCCATTTTCAACCCGACACATCCGTTAACTGCTAAATATGTGCAATAAAAACAATTTGGAGGCTTCTAGTGTTATTCAATTTGTGCAATTTAGTTTGAGAGGTATCTTTTTCTGAGAAAGACCTTCTTGTCATGTTATTACTAATGAAGTAGTAAGCTCCTGACTCAAGTCATGGGGGTCTTGTGGGTATGGGAATGTGTTTTGGTGTACATCAAGACAACCCTTTTTTTTTCTGAGTAAAGACTCGATGTTATCTCTGTTACATATTCGCTCGCTGGAGAAAGACAGAGCTCGCGCATCACATGGTAATGCATGAAGCATCACATGATGCTGAGTAAAGACACTGTGGTCAAGGAGGTCATTTAATAGAGGCCCTGGAGGGATATTGCTGAATGTTTCTTTCTGGAAATACAATTATGATTAGTCAACTTCACAGATACTGGAGGCAATTGTGTTGCCGGGTATTGCAACAATATTTTACTTTCTGGAAATCTGAAAAAGAACAGACTGTTATCATTGTTTATCTCCTGAGAAAAGTCTTTGTAATGGCCACAATCCACTAGTTTTTCTGTTTCCTTCTTACCATGAGCTTAGAAACACACCGGAGGTTTTCGTATTAAACCGCCAGATTTACCATGAACAGCGTCCAAAGGAAAGTGACATGCTTATCAAATTTACAGCCACAGCAAGGAACCGCAATGCGTTGAGCAATTGCAGACACAAAATATTGACAGGGACGTTTTTGCACACAACACATGGGTTACAAAGACATGCTTTGATGTTTTTATTTCTATTTCTTTCTACTTTATGATGAAACATATCATTTGTGTCAGTTTTGTCTGAGCAAAACAGAGGATTATTAGAACATTTTTTGATACTGATTTTTGTTTAGGAAGAAAAGCTGCATTCAATGTCATTGTAAGGGATTATTAAAGTATTCCGATTCTGATTGATTCTGATTCTGATTAATAATGGTGTGATATGCTTTGGCAAACGTTTTTGCTGTCGTAGTAATAGTTTTCAAAAGAGTGCAAACCTGTTAATCCTAGAAGAAATGCGTAAGCCTAGAAGTCAGTATATCTATACACTTGCATAAGTTATGCAAAGAGAAAACCAGTTTTGTGACTGTTGTTTCCATTAAAATGCAAAACACTAGCCAATCCTGAGGGTAAGATAAATGTACTGTGGGATTAGTTATATGTGTGAATTTAAAATGTCTTGTTTTATGCTGTGGGAAATCTGCTAAAGATCTATATTTCTACCAGTGTCCTAATTACAGATTCATCTTAACCTTTCTTTCTAAAACTTCCTAAAGTCTGACTAACAAACATCTTTGCCTCAATGATGGGATTTCCTGGCAGTCTCTTATCAGCTAGATCCTGAAACAATGGACTCTGCCCCCGCAACTTTCTGCACCGGGTCTTTCTGAGGGGCTGCTTCAAGTGCTGCTGTCCTCCTCGTGGCTTTCCCCTCATGAACAGATGTCCTTTTCTGGGTTCAAGCCAAAGGATTTAAAATACAGCAGGAAGAATGGCAAAAAAATATCAGATAGTGTATCATCTGTAACTTTATTTGGCAAAACTGAGATCCAGTTAACCTCAATTTTCTGGTAATGTAGAGCTTATCAAAATCAAATCAAATCAAATCAAATCAAATCACTTTTTATTGTCACATCACATGTGCAGGCACACTGGCACAGCACATGCGAGTGAAATTCTTGTGTGCGAGCCCCACAAGCAACAGAGATGTGCAAACACAACAACACAAACGAGCAAAATACAAGAATGGCCAACCTGAAACTAATAAATATATGTACAATATATAATAGTGTATGCATTTCTGGATGAATCACTTGTGACAGCGGCCTGAGGGCAAAAACCTGCAGTGAAGATTCATCCCCATCCAGGTGGCAGAGAAACATATAAGGACATGTGTTCCTCAGCCTAGAAACCTAAGGATTTCCTTTATACTAAGCCATCATGTGTTCTCTTTATTCTAATGACTTAGTATAAAGAGAGTTAAAATTGCCAGAGCTATACAGTAAGTTGAATTGTGGGAGCAAAGATGTAAAATAAGGACCAAAAGGTTTGATTGGGAATTCAATATACACAAATTTTATTTACACTGACACGTGTAATAACAACACATCAAATTTACAGAATAACTCTAAAGCTTTTAATAAATATTCAGCAAAATGCAACCAAAAGCTCTTAAATGAGAGGAGGGAAATGCAGTTACAACTGATCTCTCTATTATTCTGAGACATCTTCTTCCTGGTTGTAGAATTGTATTGACTTTGTGATGATCACACATGACCATAAGGAGCAGTTCAGCTTTGGCAGTTACCAAGTGAACTGGCAAAACTGGCTGAGATAATGAATTAGCTAAAATTAGCCAGAGTGAAAAGTTGCAGTGGCAACACAGACAAAAGCAATTTCTCAAGTTGAATCTACAGTAGGAAGTTTGTGCGCACATAAAACACACCATAATAAAATTCTGTACCATATCCTCAATAAGATAAACATCTTCAAAAGCAATGTTACTTTAAAATATATGCACATTTATATTTACAAAAAGACAGAGCAGTAAGACTGTGGGGTTTTTGAAGCCTAAATGACTTGATGACTCTTTAGTAGTGGCACCTCTTGACAGTAATCATACAGACACATGCAGACACACACACACATGCACGCACACACACACAAACACACATACACACACACAAGCATAGAACAAAGCACACATGTTCATACACTCAAACAGGACACTTTCTGGGTGCTCCTCATAACATCCACCACAAGGAAGAGGGGGTTTCATAAAGGTCTGGACTGATACAGACTACTGGCTGAGAGGTGCTGAAAGTCCCGCTTCTGGTGGAGGAAACAGCTGGATACAAAGAAGAGAGGTACTGCTGGGAAACCAGCTACTGGCCGGAGAACAATGAGATGACCGACACGCTGAATTCTGTACCCAGTGTCAATATCTGAAGTTAGAGCCTGGAAGACCCTGTGTTTTCCTCTTGCTTGTCACCTCAGGGAATACTGCAGTCCACTTAATGGCATTTCATATGACTTTAACCACTGTACTGCAATACAGAAGTACAGCGTTAGCATGGGGTGAAAACAACTGCCTTTCTGTTTCCTTGTCCTTTGTGAAGGGATAGAAGGTGAAATACAGAGAAAACACAGCGCAGAAATGGCAGTACCTGTCTCATGCTTGTAAACAAATATCATACACTGGATGTGGCAGGAGAGGAACTATATCAACCTTAACAGCTATTTACACCCTTAACAGGAGAACTCCAGCAATGCATCTGTCAAAAACGACCTGCTTGTCTAAGAAAACTAAAATGAAGACTTAAAGGCTTCAGGAATCGTCTCTGTTGTAAAGAATGATCTAACATCTCATCGTAAAGCATTATTACCTATACCTATATACAGTTAAGCAGTTAAAAGTCGAATAAATGAAAAGCTAGCGTACCATCTCTCTGAAGACAACTGTGTGTAAAGAATAAGTGCCACCCCAAGTCATGGTAATGTGGTAATATGGTTCAGCAAAGACAGGTGTTTAGTGTCTAGGAAATGACCTCCAGCATACAAAAAAGCAGAAATACGTTCTAACTAACATGAAGCACTTACGGACTCTAAGCATGGCATAACATGCTGTCTAATAGCTTATACACCAGAATCTTATCATCTCATTTTCAATTGGCCCCTGAAAAGTAGCTCCTTCATGTAAAATAGATCTAAACAGATGGGTATAATACTGATGATAACAGAACAGGATATCAAAAAAAAGTAAAAGCTGCATTAGTTAGTATGTGGAATGATGTGAAGTTCAAGTGCCTTGAGTGCTTTTTCCTCCAACAACTGCAACAGCAAACCACAGTAAAAATAAAAATGCTACATACATTTTCATGAAAGGAAACAACAAACAATAACAGAACACATAAATGCAAAAAGTATATATATATGTATATCTTAGTGCTGTCAGTGTTAATCTCGTTAAAATGACATTAACGGCATAACTGCATTAATTAAATCTCCGTTAGCGAGTTAGCGCAGATCGGCCCATGCGTGGGTCTGGACAGCACTAACGCGTTAACAAGCAAACCACGCTAACGAGCTAACTGCGCTAAAGCATTGATGCTGCGCAGCCCCACGCTAACTCGCTAACGGAGATTTGCCACGTTAATGCGGGTTATGCCGTTAATGCAAGATTAATGCTGACAGCACTACTATATATATATATATATATATCGGAGAGAGAAAAGAGACACTCCCCCCACGCCCCGGAAAAAACGCAAGAAACAAAAAGAGGTAAAAAAATAAAAACACCAAAACAACCTGTATGAAATGTGTAAGGAAAAAATTAACTGGAAAAACAAAACAAAACTGATTACAGTGTAATATGGTTTTACATAATGACAGTTTTAGAGTAACGCTTGATGTCCCTCAATTCTCCCTGGTGCCTTAACAGTTCCTTCCTGGAAGCAGGGGAGCATTAGTCCAACTGTTCTCCCCGTAGTCGTCAACAACAGTGGCAAAGATAAATGCCTTCCTTCTGCAACACAGGACAAAAAAAATGCTGCTGGTACCAGGTTGAGGAGCAGGTGTAGTGGTTGGGTGTTTTGTGGCGGATCATTACAGGCACTTTATGAGGCAGCCAGACAGGTCGGGTGGGTTCTCACACCCACTCGGCTGAGAGGATTGTTCCCTCCAGGAAGACCTCGTGTTGGACTAGTAAGGGCTGAGTTGGAGTGTTGTTACTGCCGGCTGAGTTGAGATGGTGAGACGCTGGGCTCTGAGAACTCTGCTCCTCCCTTGCTCTAGGCATCATAGGAAGCATGGAGCTGAAGTTCAGATAAATCTAAAGATAAGATGAAAGAGCGAAACAAAAATCTGTGACGGTTGATACTGTTACTGGCGTGTTTAACTTTAAACATATCAGTGATCAGTGTTGTCTCATCTACACAATTACTCTGTCTTTTAGCTGTGTTGTTTTCCTATTCATTCTTTCTTATTTTTCTTTTTTTTTCTCAAGATCAAAACCAGGTTTTAGGCAGAGCCTAAACAACCATCAACAGCATTGTAATAAAATTCTACAGCTCTGTTATCTTGACAATTTTCATACGGGATGCAGAATTACTCATCATATAATGCCTCTGCAGGAGACTTCACAACACATCTCTAACATATCGTGTCCTTTTCAAGCATTCTTGCTATTTCTAGGATTGCTGTAGCTCAGGTGGCAGAGCAGGTCAGCCACTAACCAGAAAGTCAGTGGTTTGATCCCAGGCCCTCCCAAATATCTTGGGCAAGATACTAACCCAATGTTTGCCTACTGGTGGTGATCAGAGAGCCCGGTGGCGCCAGTGTCCGGCAGCCTCGCCCCAGGGCAGCTGTGGCTACAATGTAGCTTGCCATCACCAGTGTGTGAATGGGTGGATGACTGAATGTAGTGTAAAGCGCTATACAAATACAGGCCATTTACCATTTCTAACTTGCTCGGTTTCATGTTTTTTGTCAGTGATTGCTGCTTGTGCTGTTACTCTCTCTTAGACATTAAGCTCCACATGTATACATGTGCAAGGCCTGGGTCCATCCAAAATTAAGCCATACTCCCAAATAGAAATTATTTTCAAATGTAATAACAATCCTATTTTGGCTAAAGTGGTCCTGTCACACAAAAGATAATACGGTATGAATCACTGCTTTTATTATATTTAATATGATTCCAAAAATGAAATGATATCTTGTTATTTCTAGGCTTGTCTAACAATAATTTCCTGTCCTTTAATAAACCCTACCAACTGGAACAAAAGTCTATCTAAGCTAAACTCACGGTCTGTGAGGTATTCTGGGTACATTATTTTCCAGGAATGTTGCCTTGGATAATAAAAGAAAACAACACTCAAATGTTGAAACCTACACGCTTAGTGGCATCTGACAGCTGCTGTTCAATCGTTTCCACGACCTTCCTGAACGGGGGTCTGTTGAAGGGGTCAGCATCCCAGCAGCACCTCATAATCTCATACCTGCACAGCAGTAATCAAACATACAATTATTATATCCTGTTTCTTTTGTGTATATTGTTTTCTGTTCTCACTTCCATCTGAAAGTTTTAACACATCCTCATTTTTAGTTTTTCTTGTGAAAAGCCAAGCACAACAGGAAGAAAGAAAGCTGCTATTGATATCCTGCTCATTACACTCTTTCCTAGTCCTAGTCCACCTCCATCTGTCTCACTAAATCTCTCCTTTTGATGATCCACATTTCAATTCAACAAAAACTCACATTTCACTGGGCGCAAACTCTGGGGCATCCATTCTGTATCCTTCTTTTATTAGTTTGTAGAACTTGGCGTCCACCTGCATACCAGGGTACGGACTGTTTCCTATGTTCAGCCAAGATATTTAGTTACATTACACACTTGTGAAAACACACAGATAGCCAGACAAACACACATAAAGTGGATGGAGAGACATACCCAGTGAGAAGATTTCCCAAAGCAAGATGCCATATGACCACACGTCACTCTCGAATGTGTAAACACACTCAAAGATACTTTCTGGAGACATCCATTTCACTGGCAGACGAGCCTGAAAGGTAAAGTGAGTATATGGCAACTTGCAATAAATTACAATGTGACATGAAACCTTTTCCTGGAAATGTTTTTTTTATGTGGCTGGGGACAGAAAATGTGCAACAGAGGGTTGATAAATGAATAGCCTTGACAAAGTATGCAGAAGGTATTTGCCTGGGGTCCCAAAGAACACGCAGAGCTCGGCACAAATTTGTGAGGCTCATACCTCACAAATTTGACAATCAGTTTATTGGCTGTCATGCATAGAGAAATAAATTTGGGATAGAGGTCAGTCAGAAATAAGACTACTTGCATAAGAGATGTAAGTGTTAAAGTTTTTTTCTTTTTAATAAAGTACTGTGTTTGCAGCTGTCTAGCACCTGAGGGATACAGAACAACTGAGGCCACTGTTGAAACAAGGAAAAAATGTAATATGCTAAAAGAAAACTTTATCACAAAGAGATTCTTCTATAAAATGTAAATTAAATCCAGTACAGGTTCTCCATAGACAGATAAGATCAGGTACCTACACTGGTTTGGGAAAAATACACGTAAGCTACTGTGTTCACAAAAGCTCGTCTTATAGACAGGTACGTTAGATAACTCCTGAATTTACATATCAGGAAGTGTGGCAAGGCAAATGAACCCCTGGATTTACAATTTGAGAACTACACAAACAAAAGCTTCCAGTTTTCCGGATTTGTCTGTACCATGTTCCTGCGAATCCATTACAAGAGTAGAGTTCATACTAGCAAGAAAGCTAAAATCAACAAACAAACAAACAAAAATCTTGTTCAAATAATCACTTATAAAGTCCAAATCTTTCCTTGTGACACTGTTGATGATTTTGATTCTGGTGAAATCTTAAATTTAGACTTTCCTGCTAGTTATTTTCTAGCACGTGAAAGTTTTGCTAGTGAATTCAAATGAAGCATCATTTAAACTAAATCTCACTTTCTAGTGAACTAGAATAGGTCATAAGGAAGGAATTCATTTTTATAGTAGGTCTGAATGGTGATGAATTAAGCGGATGACCTCCAAACCTATCAAACAGTCTTATCCTACTCCAAACTAGTGATACTAAAGATGTATCACGCCTCTAATATTATATCCCTGTGTGTCCTGCAGCTAGTGCAGACTTACATTGCCTTTGACGACATAATTAGAATCTGTGGTGATGTCTCGGGCAAGGCCAAAATCACAGATTTTGGCCACTCTTCCTTCAGTCAGTAGGATATTTCTGGCAGCCAGGTCTCTGTGAATACACTGAAAAACAAATGCATCATTACTTATACAATCCAGTGATACATGATACATGTTACATACATTAACAGTTAATCACATAGTCATGAATGAGGTGCTTTTTTTGAATGCTCTTTGCTACTGAGCTTCCACACTTGGGTCTGTAACATACAACCACTGACACTGATACATGAGAACACTGGCCTCAGTATCATTGCCTCCACAACCAATGAATTTTTCAGCAGCTTGCTTCAACATCCATTTTGGATCTGTTTACTAGCTGTGGAAACATGATCCATGTGCTGCGTTAAAAAGGTCAGATTATCAGGCATCAGAGTTTTATCCACAAATCTAATTTGGTAGTCCATGTAAAGAAAATGCATTTTATATATGGTAGAAAATAAATAGTGAAACAAATGTGGACTGCCGTTTGTGTCCAGCCTAATATTGTCATGACTGGACATCAAAACCTGCAGCACAGTTATGAGGAAAATGGACAAGAAATACTGATCTTATGCAAGCAATATAACCCTATAGCATTAGCTCAAAAGGACAGAATGTGGGGTGGTAATGATAATGTTAAAGGTGTACAGAAATTTAAGAGTAAAAACCTCCCTAGAATGTTCTGGAAGGACACCAAATTTTTTCACTGTGAGTGAAAAAATCAGAACATATGTAGTTTGCTGCTTTATATGGACTGCCATTAAAAAATGACATTCAAGTGGATGCTCACATTTTTCGAGGCTAAGAACTCCATGCCTTTGGCAACTTGGTATGAGAAACTGAGGAGATCTTCGGTGTCCAGAGACAAACCGTCATCAGCAAACATCTCATTCTCCGTGTCTGCTTCAACGTAAGGACCACCTGAGAAGACAAACAAAATGAAGATGATTTTTCCACTGTGATGATGTAACCACCTTGGCGTGCTAATAAAGATAGGAGAAATTTGATGAATGGCTGGCCGGCTTGCCTTTGCGTAGCGAGTTTCTCTTCTCAGAGGATGAGCTGACCGGTGCGTTGCCAGCAACAGAAGGCTTCATGGTCATGTAGCTGTTCAAGCTGTCACTGTGAAGAGGAAAGGAGCAGTCTGGTCTCAGCTGAATACAGCCACACATAAGCATGCTGCTGTCCAAATAACTTCCTCCTACGCACGTTCTGGATAGTAAATACTAGTTCTGTCTTTTCCACAGGACAATAAATCACTTTTTAAAGATAAAAAAGAACCTGACCCATCTGTGACTCTCTGCTGCATGACGTTGCGGTTGTAGTAATCGTCCTCAAGCTTAAAGCAGATGCACAAGTCTCTCTTTCTGCGTAGAAAGTTGAGCAGATCTCCGAAACAGCAGTACTCTGTGATCACCAGGGTAGGACCTGCAGTACAGTGAAAATAAATCTCCTCAAAAGTTGCAGCAATTTATGAAGTTTACAACTTTATTCCAGTCATAAACAATAACGCAAGCGAAAATGGTTGCCTCACCTCCAACTGTGCAGGCTCCCAGCAGGTTGACAATATTAATGTGGTTTCCCAAGTAACTGAGGACTTTCAGCTCTGACATTAGTGCTTCTTTCTCTGTGGCATGAGCGCTAGCTGTGGAAAGAAAAATATGCAATGCACTCATTATTCACTGAAATATTAAGGGTACACTGTAGCCAAACTCATGTTAAGCAGTGCTTGCGTATCGTGATCTGGTATTTGCTAGCTTAAAATACATAATTGTTGAGAGCTAAATGAAATAAAAGAGCTCTGTTGAAATGTTTTAATATAGCTATATAGCATAGCGTGCAAACCACCAAAAAATATCCACGTAATGACTCTGTTTACAGGCATCTGCAGGCAAATTATGTTTTCATTAGAATTTCTGGACAGCGTGAAGCTACTGTGCACATTTCTCACATAGTCAAAACAGCTACACAGTGCTTATCCCACTTCATTTGCATGTGTGTTGACAGCACTTACATTTGAGCATTTTCACAGCCACAGTCATGACTGAATCTGCTTTGGAGAGTCCATATGCAGTGGCTTCCACCACTTTTCCAAATGCACCAGATCCCAGAGTCTTCCCTAAAAAATGGAGACAGAAACAAAACTGTTAATCCCCATCCTGTTTTTTCTCCAACAAACAAGTTCCATGGTAGTGTTCCTAGGACAGCAGCAGTTTTAACCCCCAGGCTGTGTACGTAGGCACCAGGACATGCAGGATCCTGTTTAAGGTTTGTTGAAAACACCCAGAATATGTCAACAATATTGTGTTTGCAGTGAGGGAGTGGGGTTTCATCATTAATGAACTGTGGAACTGGTTAGTAAATAAAGACCACAGACATGGCTAAGCCCCTAATGCTGTGTCCATACACAGAAACCAGAGTGGCTGTCAATCAATGGGAACTAGCCTGAGGGTGGCAACGATGATGTCATACCCACTGGACTGTTAGGCTTTATTACAGATACAAGCCCCCATTTATCTTCATATCATCCTGCTCCCTACTTACACCTAAGACATGGCACCCAGAACATAAATTTTAGGGCTGCAGTGTGTCAGAAATTATGGATTAATGTAATTACGGGAGCCTAGATACGGAACACAGTGCAGATTTTGGTGAATAGGTTCCGGATGCTCACCAAAGCGCAAGTTGTTTCGCGGAAACTCCCACTGGTCATCGTACGGTAGCTGGGTGGGGTCAATGTCCACATAGTCGTTTCCGATAACTTTCCACTGAATCTGATATTTGGGTTTCTAGTGTGAACAATAAGACACGGAGATATCAAAAGACAATTCATGCATTAATTACATGTGGCATCTCTCTGGTCTTTCTATTCACTTGTTTATAAATGTAATCAAAGAGGGTGGGGCATGCAGGAAAAGTACAGTGCTTTCTTACCTGCATGTACTTGTAGAACAGCATGATAAGGATGAGGCAGAGGATGCCTGCTGCTGAAATGGAGCCAATTAGCAGAGGGGTGAACAGGTCATGTGGAACTCTTTTCTCTGCAGAGAGACAGAAACAGTAATGTTTGATAGAGCCAATCGGGGAATCTTTTCAAGGTTTGTCATGTTTACATTCTAAACGACATTGACACGGAGGCAATAAGGTAAGACAGAGAAGTCTAAGTCACAGTGAAGCATACTTTGATCAAATAACCACAAACTAATCCAATTATACAAGTATACATACTGTGGAGTTCTGTGCTTTTATTCTTTGTTTAAAAAATTATGCACTTTGTTTTGCTAGTTGCTGAAATTCCCCTTGTTTTTAGTTTGTTTTTTTTTAAGCCACAATGTTGTCCTTATTTTATACAGCTGTGCTGGGAATAATTAGAAGTAATCAGTGTTCTGTTCCTTTGTGTCTGGCTCATTGTGATGCCTTATTGTTTTGCTCCTCTGTACAGTGGGGTGTAATAAGCTCTTTAGCGATAAGAAGCTTTCTCTCCACTTCAAATCTGAGAATGCAGAGTCTGCAGGAACTAATCCCCTGTAAACCTGTCAGTGGTTTCTAAAGCTCTGCGTGTTCTCTGCTGCAGCTCACTGACACCTCCGAGCCTCCCACAGCCCCACAATGCCCGGCATTGCCAGGACTCCTACTGTGCTCCACAGTCTCAGCGCCTCCGTCTGGTCCGCTGTTACTCTGTAAAGCAGAAAAATCCTGGGCACACACTCCCAAAGGCCTGTCCTGTCTGGCCACAAACACTCGTCTTCCTCATAATGCTCGCCCACATACCCGCTGGAGCCACAGTTAGCCCCTGTGTCTTGCATAAACCCAGTCCTCCAGGCTCATTTGGGGACAACTCAGCTCAGACTCAGACTACTTTGAGGACACTGCAGAGCAGATGGGGAGGCCGTTACAAAAAAGTGGTTTTGGGGTCATGAAGTAAACAATGGACTCACCAAATGCTATCTGAGCCAATCATGTCGGTGGTATCTCTTCACCAATGTTTACCTAACAGTTCATAGACGAACAACATCTAGTAGTAGGTCTTCATTTATGGGTTAATCCCTGCCAAAGTCATGTTTTCAGTAAATATTTTGCTGAGGAATTATCCTTCCCCTCAGTGGCGTTCACTGAGGGGAAGACCTGCTTAGATAACTTAGTGCATGGAGTCACAGACAGAGTTTGCCAGATCAGTAATTTTTTTGTGTTCCAAAAAGTAAATAAATTCTTACACCTATGTCCTCTGTTGTTGTCCTATAATATTACAAAGAAAGCATGGAGAGGATTGCATCACTTCAGCAGCAAAACATGTGAACTGACAGACGTCAACGCCTCCTTTAATTCCACAACCCCTATTTAGACTACCTGTGCTGCTTATGTATGACTGGATGTATATCCGTGAATTCAACTCACCACTAATAGAGTAAAGTATGTAGGCTTGCTCTCCCTCCACTGTAGCCACACATTCCAGAGTATTGAACCGTGCTCTGCTGATGTTCACCCGACTCTCCACCTCTGTCTTCCCAAACATGGGACTGAACAGTGTGATGGTGATGACATTGAGCTCCTCCTGGGTGGAATTTACCTGCTGGGAGCACCTGAAGGCAGAAGATTATATACTGTTGACAAAAGAGTTGATGGGATCATCTAGATTTCAAAACGGTTGTCTGTTGTCTGGAATCTCTTCTGTATGTCTCTGAAAGATTACTTTCCTGAGGCTATAAAACCCTTTCAAATAACCTAACTTTACAATATGCAGAACCACAGAAGCATGCACTTCTATTTTAGTACAACAGCAGCTGTTAGTTTCACCTTTTGTGATGTCTTTTTGTGCTCATGAACCAAAGATGAAATATTTGTAATTAACCTTTGACGGTACTGTACTAATAAGAGTAGCAGTTATTTAAGTGCTCTCTGGTGATAGGCTGACTTAGATCAGGTTACCTTCTACTTGGATATACATGCCTTACATGCCTTTAATGATTGTGCATGTAGTGAGCGTTAAGTGGATTTGACTACAATTTTTTTTTTAAAAATGACTGGCTAAAGTTTGGATTATCAGCAGTGATTCATTGACCCAGCTGCTTTGGATTGGTATTGCTACAGCAACCCAGGGCTTCTCCTTCAGCACACTTTATGTTTGACACAAGATGAACCCTGTTCACTTGTAGCACCAACCAATCACAAATCAATACTTCTCAATCCCCTGTCACATGGGAGGGTCATTTTATCACAGTCAACCAATCACAGGTCAGCCCAGTCAAATCCCTCAATCTCACATTCCACCATCATCATCATTCCTGACTCTTTCCAATGTGTCTTTAGTGTGACCTTTAGGACCCTTGACATGCACTTCATTTCAGCCATGTTAAAGGTTGAATATGGAGATAAAACTCCAAATAAATAAATGGTTAGTGTTGTGTGCAAACACAGTGCTAAAATACGCAGTAAACCAAGAAGAATTCTCCGAAATGCAAAATGAAAATGTTGTATTTAGAAAGATTTTCTGGAAAGTATTTTGTTAAATTCACAGATGCATGCATGCCTCATTGCCTTGCTAAAGCCATGAGACTTTTTTTTGCAGACATAAATCTAATAATTGGGTAACATTAGAGAATTTTGTTTGTTGGCTACAAATTACAGAGCTGCTATTGATTTTGGTTTGGCAGGTTTTCCTTTGTTTAGTCAGTTTATGAGACAGATGACCGATCTGGCTAATATGAGTTTCCAACCAGTATAATTACTTTAGGCTGGGGTTCTAAAGTGCAGCACATACCATTGCACTCTGCCTCTGCTAATTATTATTTTACTTTCAGCTGTGTTACAAATTGAGCAAATATTTTGTTTTTATCACAATTAAAATGTGTAGTTTCCCTTGAGGGACCACATCCATTTTTTCATTTTTGCAAACTGAAATGTTTAAAGCCTTACGAAATCACACCAGTCAGCATAATAACTGAAACTCTCTAGCTATATTATTTTTGGGAAAAAAAGTTGCTCAACACTTAATCAGGGGCTTTGAAGGCCATTGTTTGGTCAGATATGTTTGGCAGTGCCCCAGCAGCTGTCATTGCTAAACGTGGTGCAGGAATGTATGACATGACATTTCAAGATGCAGCCCCGTCCACAAAAACATTGAGAAAAGCAAGACAAACAGAAACATCTTATGAGAAGTCACAACCCTTTAAAAAATATTTTGACATGTTGGTAACAGTAAGTAGTAGTCAGTAAATAGAAAGGATTTTAGAAGCTTTAAAAATCTCACCTGCCATATGGATGCTCACAGTAGTACCAGGTGATCTGGGGAGCAGGGAAACCCTCAGCCACACAGCGCACCTGTCCATTCACTGGGCTGTCAATCGATACAATTTCTGGTTTACCTGATAAACACAAGTTAATGTCACAATGTGTTAGGTATGTGACAATGAACCAGAGGAAAAATATTGGTTTAAGCATTAGCAAGGTATATTTGCAAGGTGTGGTGAGGGTGGAGAGCTGGACTTCATTCCACACAAAGTAAGTGTAAAATACACTATGGGTGGGTCATGAAATTCATCCCATGGCTTAAGGGAATATGAAACCTTTCAAAAAAAATGTGAAAACAACTTACTGATCACAAAGACGGTGAATGTCTGATTTGCTGAAGCATCACCATTGGAGGCTTGAAAGGTGTAAACTCCACCCTCTAACATTTTCAGCCGCACTAGCCTCAGCTCACTGATGTAACTAAGCATAAAATAATTATTTTATTAGTGCATTTGTTGATTTTTAAGATTCAAATATCACAGTATTTCATTCAAGCTCTAATTGTGCCATCTTTTCTTTGTTTTCTGCTCTTTCATGTGCATCTGCAGTATGCATATTAAAAATATTATTAGACAAGTATTAAATCTTTTCAGTCTTTATTTGCATCTATTCACTGTTGTGGCCACTGTAGTAATAAACCCCCAAAAGTTGATTCTGTTCATCTGGTGAAGTTTTTTCTAGTTATCGGTATCAATTGTATCAATGGATATTTACGAGTTATATTAAAGTCAGGCTTAAAGGTTGCATCAGGGTTTTATTAGGAACAAGTCTCAGCAAACATCTTGAAACTAGTCTGGGTGTCTTCTTCCTGTTGTAATGAAGCATTACTCAAATGAAGTTCAATTCTAATGATCATTGAGACATAAAAAGTGTAGCAATAAACACATATCTTCTTTGCCAAAAATAAGTATTTTAAAAGCTGTTCACCCAACAGGATATACTCTTATTATCTTTTTTTCTGTTGCAGAATTTTTCAACATATTTCACAATGCCATATCTCCTGACAGTAATATTGAGGGTGGGAGGCACGCAGGATTACATCAGAATACACATTTCTATCTGCAGCATGTAGGTTACACTCCAGATATATCATGGTTTTATTTCTCAAGACAGTCATTCACAGTCTGACAGCTCCTGTTTCACAATAAACCCCAGGGCACTGTTTCAACTGTATATTTAAAGGGACTATGACCTGCAGCTAAACCAGAGATTCACCTAAAATAAACCTGGCTGAATATGATGTTTCCATCTTTCCAACAATTAAATAAAACAAAGCAAGTGTGTGCTTGTGTGCTGTCACACCTGTATTCATCACTGTGTGTGGTGATCACATGGTCAGTTGTGTTTCTCAGCTCGTGGCCTTTAAAGCTCCAGGAGATGTGTGGCTTTGGATAAGCCACTATTCGAACTTTCAGGGACAAACTCTCGCCGGAGCGGACGTGAAAGATGCTGCTGTTTGTGGGCATTAAGTCGATGAATCCTCTTTCTGAAAAATAAGAAAATTAAATTGTTGTCAAATTTGTAGATTAATGCACCGAAGTCTGAATTATCTAACTAGTGCTGTTCTCATCCAACACATGCACTCCAAAGGGTTAGGATAAATTTAAATACTGAAAATAGTAGGGGTGCAACGATATTCGTATCGATATTGAACCGTTCGATACAGTGCTTTCGGTTCGGTACGCATATGTATCGAACAATACAACATTTGTAATTTATTTTATCAACTTTCCTTCTGACGATGCTGTCTGTGTTGAGCGCTCAGTGAATCTGCGTTCGACTACTCCGCCTAGGCTGCACTGTCGAGCGCAGATCCACTGAGTGCTCAACACAGACAGCATAGTCAGAAGGAAGAGCGCAGGGCAAGCTAGCAAGACAGAAGTTAAGCTCTCCAGATCTGGCGTTTGGAATTATTTTGGTTTTCATGTGACGTATGACCCTGAAGGTAAGCGAGTCATGGACTAAAGTAAAACAGTATGTTGGATGTGCCGTGCAATGCTCAATTACATGGGTGGGAGCTAGTGTGTTAGCGCAGTTAGCTCGTTAACGTGTTGGCCGTCTAGCCCCATGCACGGGGCGATCGGCGGTAGCTCGTTAACGGAGATTTGCCGTGTTGTGGCGTTAAGGTCATTTCAACGAGATTAACCTGAAATCACTAGTGGGAACACAACGAATATGACTGCACATTTACGCCGACATCATCCTAGTGCAAAGACAAAAACAACAAGCATGCTACTAACTTTAGCCGAGTCATTTAGACAGCTGTTAGCACATGATTCTCCTTATGCTGCTGAGAATATAGCCCAGAAGAAGCGGATAGTATAGCTTTTATTTTGGAAAGAGACATTTCTCTGTAATAAACTCTCTTTTCCAAAGATGAGTGATTCCTCAATCAGATACAGGGCTCGCAATATCGCTAGCCCGACGTCCTGGGGCTAGCGATTTTTTTCAGTCGGGCTACCAAAATCTATCTCTTCCCTGCCCGTCGGGCTATTGTAGGAAGAAAAATATATGTCAATGCTTTTGCATTCTTTCAGAAATGTAGCTGGGTAATTATGTCATTGGCATCGGTGAGCCACTGTCAATATGTGACATATTGAAGTCACGTTTGAATTTGCGCTTGTTTTTTTGCTTTCACTTTGCAATCGCGCGAACTGTGTATAGAGAGCGACAGCACTGATCTGTGAGTGATGATAATTTGTGCACCAATTCCTCTGACATCGTCTTATCAATCGTTAGCTTACTATGCAAACATGACAAGTGAAATCTCCCGCAGCAAGCTTAAACATGTGAGAGGTTGATCGCGCAGAGAATCGCTGAGCTTATGTGAGTGCGTGTGTAAAAGCAGGAGGATATATATTTCATTTCTTCTGAGCCAAATAAGACAGGTCAGGGTGAAGAAGTGACAGCCAAAGAAAAGCTTACCACAAAACGGAGAAGTTATGACAAATCAGACTATAAGGCAAAAAGAAAGTGCAGCTTCATGGTTTCATGGACAAAAGAATTTCTGTGGCTGCAATATGACGAGCTAAATAACCAGGGCTGCACATAAGTGGTCCGCAGGTGCGCATTCGCTGTCAAAATAAAAAACGCGCACAAGGGTTAGGGTTAAATTTAAAAACTGTACTTTTGAGTTAAAATATATATTTATAATTTTAATAAATGACAAATTAAAAAGGCATGAACATTTTTTTTGTATCGAAAAAATATCGAACCGTGACACCAAAGTATCGAACCGAACCGAACCGTGAATTTTGTGTATCGTTGCACCCCTAGAAAATAGATCTCATCAGGGGTTGGGAGAAAATGTACCACTGTATGCTCTGATTGATTTGGTCTGTTATTTGGGGCATGATGTTACTTATGTATTTTATTATTATCACATGCCAGATAATCAGTGACTGTTTCAGGAATATTAACTTATTTTGTTGTCACCATAAAATGGTGATAATAGATCTCATCAGGGGTTGGGAGAAAATGTACCACTGTATGCTCTGATTGATTTGGTCTGTTATTTGGGGCATGATGTTACTTATGTATTTTATTATTATCACATGCCAGATAATCAGTGACTGTTTCAGGAATATTAACTTATTTTGTTGTCACCATAAAATGTGACTCTAAGTGGTGATGGTCCATGAGAGTTCATGATATACACAATACTAGTGCCAGATGCATTAACGTCTTTAAAGAAAGTGGAAGTGATAGTACAGAATCAATGCTATTTTGTTCCCTTAACTTCTTGTACAGTGGGTTACATGTAGTTCAGCCTAATTAATGTCTAATAATCACAGTGAAATATATCTTCTCATTTAACTGTTATGCTCTTCCTTTTTGTTTTAGTCATATCTGTACTGCTGCAATGGTGGATGCTTATATAAAACACTGGTAAAGTTTCAAGCAAGGTATGTTTAAGTATTACCAATGAGCAAAAAGCTCAACATTAGTCAGTTTTGTTCTTATTCTTGACTCTATATGGTAAATGGCCTGTATTTGTTTTTGCTGCCCTGGAGCGCAGTGACAGAGGCAAAGCTGCCAGACACTGGCGCCACCGGGCCCTCTGACCACCACCAGTAGGCAACGGGTGAAGTGTCTTGCCCAAGGACACAACGACAGAGACTGTCGGAGCCGGGGCTCGAACCAGCAACCTTCCGATGACAAGACAAACTGCCAACTCTTGAGCCACGATCGCCCCATGACATTAATGAGAAAGAACATGCTTAATATGGTCATATAAGGTGTTCAGCTTTGGATGTGAGTGTAGAAACACCTACCTGATGTTCACATATTTTGTTTGTGAGAGGCAATCAGAAGAAAACGATTTTTTAAAAGCATGAATCATACAAAGCTTCATTAGTGGAATCAAAAAATACTGATACCATTGGAAATCAGTGTATTGGGTTCCCTTTAACTCATTTAAAACACTGAAAACTTAATGATGCAGAAAATTTTTGAGGAGAATAATTCACAAAAACTCTTAAGTTCATGTCCAGCTTTAAATGCAAAAAACAAAATTACATCACTTACTCACCATATACATCGAGCCACACCGACTTGCTGCTGACCCCTTTTCCATTCCTAACTTCACATATGTAACTCCCAGCATCCTGTGGCCGTACTGCATCGATTTGCAGTGTCGTTCTGTGGCTATTGGCAAATTTTTCCATCAGGGATTCTGAAGAACTGCCAACCTTTGCTGGTTGCTGTGGATACCAGACGGCACCCTGTCAACGCCCAGAGATCTCTAGAGATTAACCCTGTCTGCATGTCTATGCTCACCAAGCACAAATTACCACATGCACACAACCACCTGCATGCAAGCACACACACCTACGGTAGCTCACAAGGTACACTGCAAGGCATACCTGAAGCTTAGACATTGTGGACTTTTTAAAGACAGGCAACAGGAAGACGCAAGGACGAGGCTGTGCTACCAGTGAAAGATTCGCCAATATTATAAGGGACTTGAATTAATTTCCTTTGAATTATTTTCATTTTGGAGCACCAAATTGTAGCAGCTCATTTGGAATGGCAACAAATGCAGAATTTTAAGGCAACTCAAAAAGGGAAGCAGTTAAATCTTTCACTGACGGCAAAGCACACAGCAAAGACAAAGGCAGAAGGTTCTCACCGAGCCAGGTGGGGTGACCCACGTGATGTTGATTTCTCTATTGGCATTACTGGTGTTGCAGGTGAGGGAGAATCTCTCACCTCGGGTCAGAATCACTCTTGTGGATGGTTGGAGCTCAACTACAGGAGGCGCAGTGGGTACTGCAATAAAACAAACCTCATGTGATGTCATTCCTTTGGTTGATTTTAGCCAAATCGAAAAATGTACATATGCTGCACACCCACACTAGTTTACCTGGTACAACACTCAGGAAGAATTGGCCTGATCTGACGTCCTTTCCATGGAGTCTTCCTGCACACACATAGCAACCTTCGTAGGCCTTTTGTGTGTTGTGCATGTAAATGCCATGCTCCAGGCTGGCGGAGAACTGGAGACCAGGGGGCAGAGTTTTACTGGAGCATGTTTCCAGGTGCATATTCTCCAGATCTGGATCAGTTGCCAGGCAAGGGAAGGAAGCATTTTCTCCCTCACGAGTAACATATCTAGACACCTTTAGTTTTCTGAAGGGATTTCCAGGATCTGGCAAAAAATAAATAAATAAAAGAAATTGCAAAGGTAGCATGAAAGCAGGGTAACAGTATATGGGTATTTGAACTTTTTATTATAATAATGGGGATGTAATGCTGGCTATCCAATTCCTTTATATACGAGGAACAATGTACTTTGCTGTGACAGTCTTTTCTGTTTCACATTATTATTAAAGCTATGTTGCTAATAATCTCCAAATTCAACCATGAAACAGCTCTGATACAAATAAAACAAGTCCTCTTTTGATCTCAGTGGACCCCCTGAGTACTGTGAGATGCTGACTCGATAGATTGGTTTGCTCTGATAGATTCTGCAGATGCTTTATCAGACTGGGACTGAGGACTTTCTAGGCTGGGTCGATGGCTTTGCATCTCCAACTAATTTCTGCAGTTAATTGTCTTGCTGGGGAAGGCTCATCTCAGATGTTTGAGGTAATTGATAATATAAACTAGAAACTGTTGCTACTTAACTCAGACTTAACTTTGTGCTGTTTGTGCCCTGTGAAATCTGGGATCTGTAGTCTTAAGTCACACTGCTATTACCATGGGAACCATAATTGTTGCCAAAACAACCAACAACCAGGACTAACATGTGAAAGATTATCAATCTGTAGATATTCCTTTTGAATAAGTTCCTTAACGAGAAAACAGGATTATCTTCCAACACGATTTAAATGATTACCAAACAAATTACTTCTCAATATTTCTAAATATCATCTGCTAAGCAGTTCCTGCTTGTTGCCTCAAACGTAGATGAACGGATTGTGGAGTGAATGATCAGCACATGATAGAAGCCAGCAGTGATGGCTTTGGGCCAAGGGGATATTGGGTCATGTAGAAGAAGAAATACAGTAAAACTCAGTCATACACTCAATAAATAGCTCTGGTAGCTACTGTACCTGTCCAGGGCAAAGTCACAAACACCTTCTTCTGCTAATACACCCACACACATAGATTTTGTCTACTTTTCCCTGCAGCCTGCGTACACGCTCCTTTCTCTTTCTCTCTCACAAAATTACCACACAGTCTCGAAAGGGTTTAATCACCAAGAAACATTTAGGTACCTTTCACATAGATGTAGATGGAGGCATGTTCCTTGGAACCCTCCTCCTGGCAGATATAGCGACCCATGTGAGTAGGCAGAGCCTTCTTAATTGAATATGTCAACATCCCATCGATGTTGTTTGCTGCCAGCAGCTTTGACCTCTCCCGCTTCCACTGTATCCTGTTTTCACCCTGGCAACGTAGTTTGAAGGGTTCGTTGAGCTGGATGACGACGTGGGGTCTGGCAGGGGTGATAGTGGGCTTTGTATCACCTTGAATGGGAAAAAGAATGTATTTAAATGAATGCCACGGGTATGAAAATGCAAGAAAGTGCAAAATCAAGGCATTATTTCTTAAGCCTTCATATGAACTTAAGGCCCTACAGTTTATCCATTTGGAGATTTGTTTTGTTTTTACTTGACCAAAGCTATTGTACAACAGTAAAATGTTTTCAGCACTGTGAAATCAAGATGTTTCCACTTATATGGCCCCACAAGCCTCCCATGCATCATGAAAGCTTAGGGATAAAATCTCTGATGTAAAGTTAAACATAAGGGTAGCCCACATCAGATTTCAAAACAAAAGATTTATACTGGCCATCATTCACAAATTGACCAACAGGGACATGAACTTTATATGTAAAACTTCTTCAGTATATTTATTTGCTCTCAACATTTATGACTTGTGACTTCTTGAAACAACATGAATTGTACTCATGGCTTCTGTACTCAGGATGTAGCTCCACAAAACAAGATGTTTTGCCAAAAAGTTGCTAGTCAATCAATGTCTGATTGTTACTGAAAGATGCTAGGAGACCAAAAAGAAAGATTTTCACGAGAAAAAACGAAATCAATCAATTTATTGATTAACTTAAAAAAACAAAACAAAAAGCAATTATGCACCCCTTAAATTAATAATAGGGTTCTCTGATGGATCCAGACCCTCAAGCTGGAAATGACTTTTCAAAACATTTATCTGCATCAGCGGTGTAAGTAAAACAGCTTCAGAATATGTAAACTGTTCTATGATAGTTAAAAGAAATGCTGGCATTATAAAGCAGACTGGTGGTGAAAAATGTGCCATATGAAAAAACACTCAATAATTAATATGTGCTTTTTACCAGTCATGGTATAAAATAAAACAAATGCTTGTAGCATGGTCTGTATTTAAAGGGGCGGGGGTGTTACCCAGAGTCTTAATCTGCTGCACCAACTGAAAACAGGTGGGGAAAGATTGAGTTGCTCGAGTAATGTTTTTGTTCCCTGAGAAAACATCACTGTCTTTATTGAAGCCACTTGTGATAAACACTATAGGACTGTGGTTGCAGCAGCAGTACAACAGGAATGAACAACAAGGTTTTTATGTGAATAGATGTGCTCTTTCCATCCTTTTAATTCATACTTGGATAAAATATGTAAATGAATAAACACTGTTCAGAGAGCCAGTCTGGCACTAACAAGTCATGAAGAAAGACACTATTGTAAGAAGGAAGTGTAGCAAGAATACATTTATCTTAAATGATGAAATAACACGGAATTTCAGGAATAGCAGGGTATCAGTATACAAATACACCCTGTTAAGAGACTGTAAATAATACCAACATTGCCCTGAGTTAAAACGTGAACATTTGGATATCAGTATAAAAGAAGGAGATTAATTTGCATGCGATGTATATTAAGCCTAACTGAATCTTCATAGCGTTTATTTAGTTGATCTGATTTCTTATATCCACCAAATGCAGAACAAACATGGTAAAACTTAATTAGGTCCACACTGTGCGTAAGCGGGCTAAAGGCAAACTTCATGGCGTGCCGTATTGCGTCATATGCCAGGTAAGCTTGTGCGCGCTCGCTGGAAATGTGGCAGTTAGTCGAAGCCCCTGGTGAAAATGTCGTGAACATCAACCGTCCCCTATGGGCGCATTATATGCTGCCAAGCTGTCGGTCAGATGGAAGTCCACCTGATGCCGCCCTGAGCTGGAAGAAGCTCCGTAGACGCACCATGTGCGCAAAAGAGCGCAAAGTTAAACAGCAACACTCGCGGTTCACCGCTTTTATAAACATGCATGGCCAATGTCGGTTTTTCATAAATTTCCATAGAGATAGCTCTGGGAACATCCAAAACTCTGTTTCCTAACAAGATTAAAAAACAACAACAACCCAAATCGAATTTAAAAAATGACAGGCTGCACATCAACCCACTTAAAGCGACCAAAAAATTGAATCGTGAAATTAAAAAAAACTGACACTGAGTATTTTTAAAAGGCAGTAAAGATATCATTAGCTGTTTATAGACGATTGACCTATTCGGCTGGACTCTGAAGATGATGCCAAAACACAACAGTTGCAATGTGTTTTTGATATTCATCCTCAGATCAAAACACAACCAACCCGGAGCGCAGGCGAAACGTTTTACATTGCTCAGTGTTAAAAGTCACACATGTGACAATATTTATCTAAAAAAAGGGAGAAATTACATGTGAATGCAGTCCTGCTTTCGACAGACGTTTTGCATACTTCCTGTGAATCAAGAGACGCCAATAAATTTTCATACTGACGGTTATGTGCAGCTCCAGGAAAAATAAAAATAAAAAAACGGCTTCATCGTGCACAAAATGATCAAGAAGTCTCTTTGAAGCTCACTCTTGCACATTGTTCAACACTTTATCGTTTTGATTACTTTTTTTTTTTTTAAATAGCGCCCTGTTTTCCCAGTATAACATAAAATATTAAAGTAGCTCCAGCGCCCAGATCGTCCGCATTAGTATCCACTTTCCTCATTAGGTTTCTCTGACTTCGGGTTGTCTTATTCAGCACCCTTCAGATCTGACTACTTCATAGAACAAAGAGAAGTACGGACAAATCGCGATGGGAGGCAAGTGCAGCGGTACGGTTCGCTATACGTAGATTATCTTTATCACACTGGGCTGCAAAATAGCAAGCATTAAAACAGAAACCCTTTCTTTGTTCAAAATTGAAAAGCAACAGTTGTCTGCGTAAACTGGCGCGTCAAGTGTAAAGGCTCAGTCTTACCTGGATGGAAGGTTAGCTGTAAAAACACAGAGAGAAGTATCCAGTGGTATTCCATAGTTATCATTCCATGGGTCTACCTGTGAAGGTGAGCCAATGCCTTTATATGAGTAAGGTAGCTCTTGTCTGCTTGCCTAGCGCGTCGGAGTTGTGGGCAGTTGACCGTGGGCTCTGATAGAGGCGCACTTAGAAGTCTTTAAAGGCACAGATGCTCAGTTCATCTCGCAACAGCAGCAGCCGTCGCCAATCTGCAAACATACTGTTCTCCTGGGGAGCGCCAGAGGGGACGGAGCAGGCCGACCAGGTATCTCTGACTGGCTGTGGCGTCAACAACATGTTTATAGGAGCCAGTGGTGGAGCCTATTACTCACACGATACAGTGAAAGAGGGAGGTGTTTGTGACCTGCAGTGTGCTTCCCAGCACACACACACACACACACACACACACACACACACACACACACACACACACACGCACACACACACACACACACACACTGAACTCAGAGAGAGACTGACAGATCAGGACAAGGATATATGCAAGGTGGCATATGCTGTAGATGATGTTATCGCCGATGTAGCCCGCATGCACATGCTTCAGATAATTTCACTTTTTTTTTTAACCTTTTACGTATGAGTGGAAGTCAGATCGATAGATGTGCATTTTTTGTGGCTTTTGTTTTTATCAGATAAGAAGTGACTGCACACCACTAGCATCCATTTCAGCTTTAATCACACTAGCATTGGTCATTTTTCCCACGGCTTTATTATTTTACATGTTTTTTCACCAGACAACTCCCTCCCCCTAAGAACAGTGACCTGCAGTGTGCTTCCCAGCACACACACACACACACACACACACACACACACACACACACACACACACACACACACACACACACACACACACACACACACACACACACACACACACACACACTGAACTCAGAGAGAGACTGACAGATCAGGACAAGGATATATGCAAGATGGCATAGATGATGCTATCGCCGATGTAGCCCGCATGCACATGCTTCAGATAATTAACCAAGTGACTGCACACCACTAGCATCCATTTCAGCTTTAATCACACTAGCATTGGTCATTTTTCCCACGACTTTATTATTTTACATGTTTTTTCACCAGACAACTCCCTCCTCCTAAGAACAGATATGACTAGCCCTGTGAAACTCTCTCTCTCCCTCTCTCTCTCTCTCTCTCTCTCTCTCTCTCTCACACACACACACACACACACACACACACACACACACACACACACACACACACACTAATGTAGTCTAGTTTTCCGTTGCCTGTCACATCCATTGCTTTCTGACTGTCCGTATTTGAAAGCACGTGGCAGCGCGATTTTAGCTCAAAGCAACTGTTGCAATAAACCACAATACCGTCCTCATTAAGTTGATTAAGTTTACTCTGTGAGTTAATTATTCATTCATAACGCACCTTATCTGTCATCGTGTTCACGTCAAATAGGCATAGAACATACATTTTGGCCAGTAGGATAAATGGGGTTCTTTTCCTTCCTGCAAAATGTGAAAATAGTATATTCAGTTGAAATTAATGCAAAATTTTCATTTTTCTTCACCTTATTAAACAAAGATTTCAGTTCTTCCCTCTGTCATATTTAGTATTTGAGCATCAGACTAACAGATCTGGCTAAAAATCACATGAAAATTAAAGAAAGCCAATGTTTAGTTTTTAAACTATAATTTCCATAATTAGACTTTGCATTTCCAGTTGCACTGCTTCACAAAAGCAAAATAGGGCTGCAACATTCAAATAACCCCCAACACACACAAACTAAACCTTTGGTTAGATTTATATCAGATCTAGTGAACCTGCACAACCAAGCTCAGGCCATAAATGGCACTGCCAGCTCTTTGAAAATAGTGCCATGAAATCGGATATGTTTGCTAAGCAAGCAGGTAATTACTAATGCCAAAAAAATAGGGATTAAGTTAGCTTTCCGTTGATGAACATATATACTTTGGCTCACTCAGTGCATCATTTAAACAACGTTGGTGTGTAGAATGTATTTATAACTAAACCAGGATGTGTTCATAGTGGTGAAGGACATCTGTAAATATGTATTTGATGCAGTTGCGTGTTTACTTATAGAGTATATGCTTGAACCACAAAATCACCGCATGTCAAAATGACAGGCAAATAAAACCTGCAAATACTCTGCTGCGGCACATTATTTTAACTGATAAGAAGAACTCAACATGCACAAGTGCTCCTGTTTTTCATCTGTGTACAGTGCAGCAACTATCACACAGTTTCGAACAAGCTCTATGTGTCTGAAAAAACATATTTGTCATGTAAATATTTTAACAACATAAAAAAGAAACGAATTTCATCCTGAATCTTCTGACATTTAAAAGCCTCTCCAATCAATTCTTAAAAAAAGAGTATCACAGACCTCGCTCTAAGGCTCAAATAGCTAACACATTGAAACCAAATCTCTAATTTAACTTGCTCGAAACATTAGCTCCTGTGAAAGATCTTTCAGTTACCACACAGCAATTTTTCCATTTTGTATACGTGTTAGGATTACGAAAAATAAAAAACCCAAATTGTCTCATTAGCATGTGAAACACGACAACTTGTTGTCAAATCCACCATATTCTTTGTATGTTTAATTGAAAATTACATCTCATTCATTCACCTTGTGGTCGAGGAAATGACTAGACTGTATCGCAGCTTGGGTATTGAAGATAATGAATTAAAGATTCTTCTGAGAGTCACAGTGCCAATAATGCAGCAAAGAATTAAGATTAATGAGTTAAGTCAATGCAATGAAACACACAAACAACAAGCTTTTTAATATATTTGCAAAAAAAAAAGCAAAAACTTGTTGCCCAATATGTCATAAATATAGAAAATGGAACATGCTCTGAAAGAGTCTATGAACAAACCTTTGTTTTTCTTCTGTAGCCAGAACACAATTTCCACCCACAAAACCATGATTGTAATATTAGAATGTTTTGACTATTTCATGTCCAGGAGGCATCCCCTCTAAACTTCCAGAACAAGGTTTTTACTGTCTCTCTCCCCTAAACATTTCCTGTGATGAACACGGTACAGAAGAGCAGGAGAAAACACTGGGATGGAGAAGGAAGTAGGAACCTGACACTTGTTTTCATGCTGATTAATATTTTGGACTCCCGATCACCCTGGGCCAAGAACACAGTTTTGAGCCATACCATAATTGCTTCCAACACTTCACTGAGAGTGACTAGTGAAATAAAGATATATGCAGGCACATTTAAACTTGTGGAAATACACAGATGAAAAGATTATGATGGGAGAAGGGTTTTGGTCAGGATACTGTGGCTTGTAAGAACTTGTGCATGTGATTCAGTCAACAACCCCTTAGGAGCCATCAGCTCAGTACCAAAGAATCTGATAACAGAACAAAAGCTCTTTGTTTCTTGTTTATAAGAATAGTGTACAAAATGGGCAGGCAATGTGTACTAGTACAACTAGTACTTTAAATATTAGTAGTAATTCAAGTTCTAGTTCAAGAAAATTTAAATTGCAACATATATAAAACTGAAAAAATGGAAATAGCATGCAAAGCATGTATCTTTCATCACACGCACTTTTTCCATTTTGTTTTTCATCCCCATACATGAGCTGCACCAAGATATGTTGAAGCGCTAAACTAAAATAGGCTGATCTCGCAGAGATACCATATGTCGTGTAAGAACCAGAGCCCATCAAATGAAAGAGCAGATTGAGATGTACGTTTGGGTAACTGGTCCACCTCGTTTCTCTAGTTATTTTCTTACCAGCCCAGTAACTGCTGCCTGTGCTTTTACAGAAATGCTTTCAAGTCCTAAAGTCTCTTTCACAGTTATGCTTGATGTACAACATCTGTGCTTCAGGCCAGGTGTGTCTTCACTACAACCAGCACTGGGAGATGCCAACTTTCTGTCATTTGCGTATTTCTAATCTCTTACTCTGTGACCTCTAATTACTGTGTTTTAGTGTTGAAAAAAATTCAGTTGATGAGTTGACATTAGGTGATGTGACATATATATATTGCTTATGCCTATAATTTACTGTCCTTTTTCTTCTTGGAACTATGAGATTATAAAAAAAATGTGAAACACTTTCATGAAGCTGCAGAACAACAAAATTTATTTCCTGCTAAGAGAAAACAGATGTACACTGAGTACAATGTATGTGTGTTTTTGAAAAGGCTTGTGCGTCTCCTGAAATGTTTCTAGTAACAAGATAGAGAGAAAGAAAGGGAGAGAGAGCAAGAGAGACAAAGAGGGAAAGAGAAAGAGAGAGATACTGCTCTTTCACAATAAAAGCCTTTGTTAGTGGCCCCTTGATTCATGCCTTAGGTCTTCAAGGGTCATGCTAATTGGTATGTGAATGTGTATGTGTGCATGCGAAAGATAGAAAAAGTTCTCATGGTTTCTGTTGAACATCAAAAATTAAACAGCAGTAACAGATTGTTTCAGTTTTTGAAACAAGAAGGAATGCTGGAAAACTTTTTTTTTCCCAGTTCTGAGTTGTCAAAGCTTGTCAAAAAGACCTGTAATTTAGCAAAGAGTGAATCTTAATAAGTGACTTGCATAGAGTCACAACCCTAAATCCCCAAATCTTCTGGGAAAAGAGAATAATTAAAATCACATCAAATTATTTTTTAGGGGTTCTAATAGTAATTCTTCCATAGCCATAAATGCAGTGTTGAATCTGCTGCCACATATTGGTTGTTGGATGATAGCACCCTATATCTTGTGATTAACGCAAAGCTGAATATGGTTATACAACAGGAAATATTTGTATGACAGAGGACATATTTGGTTCCATGAAATGTTTCATCGGCCTTGTAATGAGATACACTGTCCTGGAAGTACAGAAAGCTGAAAAAAGACAAATCCATACCCAGATGGAGGTGCTGTAATTTGCTCAGACGTGTTTTATAATGAGCAGAACAAAAAGGACTGCACAAAGTAAAATCTTTTAAACAAAAGAGAAACCAAAAGCTGAAAAACTTCTGTATAAAAGAGCACCAGTGGGTAAGTACTTGTTGGTGCTATTTTCTTTTTATGTTCATGTATTAGGCAACCTGTTTTCTAAGTATGCTACACAATTACTTTTATTTTAATAACTGTAATGGGTGGGGATTTAATTGACAATATAAAATTAGTTTTCTCAGAGAGACAAACTGACTTCAATGTCAGTACAAGGCTGATGAAACAATTTATTTCCTGGGAATTCCTGTTCGCATCAGGATACCAAACAAACACACACCGCACTGGCAGTTACCATTGACCGACATCAGCATAGTTAGTAACTGCTCCCAGACTGTCCC